CGTTGTGTTGAACTGATCGGACCCGTAGCCATATGCGTGATCAAGCTGATCTGTGTTTGCTCTCTCTCTTGTGTCAAAAAGATTGATTGGGGGACACGCGAATCGCTTTTGTTCTTAATGACGTTTCAAGATATTTTGTGATTGATTGACATGTGGACTGACAAGTACCCTTCGATTGGGCGCCAACCTCCCCTATCTCCCATCCCAACGCGACCTTTTCCTTACAGTGAGGAAATGACACGTGTATGTGAGTGGGACGTACGAGAAGCCATTGCACAAATCGGCGGGCAGTATTACTTCCCTCCAGCCAACCGCTGTTCTGGGTTCGTAGAAGCCGGGTTTGTTATTATCGATATGCACTTCCCACCTTACTCGGTATTGTTGCCATTTAACGAGTTGATCGTCATTCCATGGACGACAGTAGAACCCCACTGGCCGCGCACTCTGTGCACCGAATATCAGTGTTTTGAGCGCTACGAGTCCAGGGGTTTCCACTACCCTGTGCGGAGTGAAGATGAGCATAAAGAAAGAGCCGCGCGACTGAAACCCTCCACGTCAGACTCCGAACTAGCCAGCGAACGACGACGAGACTTGATACGAAAACGGGACACGCGAAGCGTGCCCAAGACTTTCTGTTCTAAACGACAGGCTGTAGCCCGGTGGGAGGCATGACAATACTTTCTGGATTGAATTTGGATCTTTCCCTCTCTTCCCGCCTTGCCCGCGCGCGCATTCTGCGACGCGCGAAAACGATCGACTTGCTTCATCGGACTAACACGGGGGATTTCAGTTTCGTCTGTGTCCCCACACTCAATTTCTAAAAATCCTTGGCACACGCCATCTTGCTGTTTTTCTGGGCCTCTTTTCCGTACAGCTAACACTCTGAACGGAAGACAGCACAGGGCGTGAGGTTGGTATCGGAGCCGACACGTGTCGGTTCTGATGATAGTAAGTCGAACTGGCGAGAGGTAGGAGAGATCCCTCACTAGCTCGTCGAGATCGCCCCGTGACCAGGTCTCAGTCTAGTGTGACTGCGCTAGCAATACCAATGGTGGATGGTACTAGGGTGATCGTTAGCATCCCTGCCCCCTTCCCCTTTTTCCCCAACCATACCCATCCCGAGGCTTGGCTGGAAGCTGTCGAAGCTCAAAACTACAGCGCAGCCGATCTTCCCCGTATTATGACCTTACTACTCCGCAATACATCGCACGACTGGTTCAGAAAGCATACATGGGTAGATTGGGAGACTTTTAAGCATGCATTCTTGGTTCGATTCGACATGGTTAGTGAAGATGCCGCCTAGTACGTACTCAAAAATCGACCCCAAAGACCAGGGGAACTGTTACCCGATTTCGTTGATCGATTTCAAACCACATTGGATAAATCCGGGCGAGACGAGAAATCTGCTCGAGATTTATTTATTGATCACCGTCGAAATCCGACCTTGAAAGGGAAACTGCAGAAAAAGGTTCCGCCAAAAACAACCCAGTTATCGGCTATCATTACTTAAGCGTTGGAGCTAGATTTGGCTGATACAAAAAAATATATCAGTCAGGGAGACGAGGACATTACAGATACCATACGGGATGTAACGGCCAAAAGGCGATCATGGCTACAAGCAGTCGAACGGTTTAATCCCCGCCCCGACCATGATCTTCCTGGCGGGATCGTTTCCGATATCCCGACTGCTTCTCCTCCATCTCCCCCGGTGAATCGATCGATCGCAGCCGTTAGAAGCGGAACTTCATCTGAACCCCCCTCGTCGGTCGTAACCAATCTACACCTTGCCAAGATGATCCATACGGCTACTACCAAGCAGTCTGAATGGATGAGCAACCTGATCCAAATGAGGGCCACTCATATGTAACGGATGGAACAGATAATGAGCGGGCTCATTAAGCCTAACCCAGCTCCTGCTCGGCCTGCCCCTGCATCATTTCCGCTCTTGCCTGCTCTGCCTGCTCCAGGATTCGCACCTCAGTTTCCTCATCTAGCTAATCCGGCTAGAAAGATCGAGTGTTTTAAGTTTTAAGTTTTAACTGCAAACAGCCCGGGCATTTCGCCCAGGACTTTCCGCAGCCGAAACGTAATCAGCCTCCCCCTGCTGCGGCTCCCGTCGCCCTTAATAAGGGACGAGTAGCCACTCTGATGGATACGGATCCAGGAAGAGAACTCGACATGGCATACGCCCCAGAACAGCCTTCCCCTTCGATGGCAATGGCGTCGACATCAGGAGCTTCCTCCTCTGACGCCGCTGACAAAGTCGATCCTCTCGAGTATCTCCATCTCGTAGGCATGATCGGAGCAATCCGATCGGCTCCGAACGATCTCGAATGGGTCAATCGCGAATCCAATCCAGGACCGCAGTTTCAGACAGGAGACATTGATGTACCGAGAACGCTCAAGCAGTTAGACATCCGCGTTTCTATCCCCGTAGGGCATCTGCTCACTATATCTGAAGCGGCGAACGATAAACTTTTACAACACTGCCAGAAAAATCAAAAGTGTTTCACCTATCAACGCATACAACGAATGTTGAAGAAGAAGGAAGAAGGTGAGAAAGTGGTATCCCCTGAGCCGGACACTAAAGAACCTGAAGCCGCACGCATAGCCGCCATCTCTTTAGCAAAAAAGGATCACTTCGTACGAGTTCGGCCAGTACTATGGAAAAGTGCGAAATGTGACTGTGAAGTTTGGGGTAAGTCGTTTAATGCCCTAATCGACATAGGGTCTTCTGCAGCGGCCATATCATTGGAGACTGTTAAAAAGACGGGACGACTTGGATCCATTCTTCCTTAATCTGGCAAAGACAACTATGTCTCTGCTGATGAGGAAACAATGAACATTGTAGGCATTATCGAGAACGTGGCGGTAAAGGTCGGGCGAGTACAGGTCATTGTTAACGCACTCGTAATAGATGTACGTTCCTACTCTGTGTTGTTGGGATTACCTTGGGCAATGGCGGTGGGCGCACGTCTGCATTTCGATTCGAAACAATTGGTGCTCACACAAACTGGGGGAAAGCCTCAGACTGTTCCTTTGCGGGTTTCCACCCAAATGATAAAACGGGTTCCTAACTCGCCCCAAGTAGGGATGATCCGAGGCATTGATCCCGAGGAGTGCTCCCCCTCGCGCCTCGGGGATGGAATCAGGGAATGAGAATACGAAGAAGAGATGCCCAGTAAAAAAAAATGGAAGCATATGGTTGAACTTTTCGAACATGAAACCCCCGAAGAATTTCGAGTGTGCCCCGACACCGCTCGAAGCTTCCACGTGGATTCTAAAGACAGTGCATTCACGTCTCTAACAACCCAGGTCAGTCCTTCAGTCCTCCTCGAGGAACCCATATTACAAGTTTCCGATCTGGCTGATGATTTAGAACCCCCTCGCACCTTGTACGAGGGAGCTCTTTCCTTACAAACGCATTATCAGCAAACGGAACAGTATTTGGACGTTTTTGTTTTTCCACCCCGATCATTACTAATGACAGGAGTCACCATCGCCTTGATTAAACAAGAAGCGGAAGCACCGGTAAGTGACGTGCCGAATCTAATGCAAGAAATGACGGATCTAACAGGGCTAACTGTGGAACCGACTTCAGTTGGTTCAGAGACTGACGCTGAAACTAAAGAAACGGAGATGATCAGCCCCGCTGAGTCCCAGATGATAGCAACTGTCTTTTTTGTTTGCACCAGTAGTTCCGTTTTCTCTAGTGTCCATGAGCGGCGGGAACGGCCGGTTGATTGGATCGATATGCCCCTTAATATGTCCGGGGAATCGACAATCCCCTTCCAGAGTCACGTTCCCGCGGAACTTAGGAAGTCGTTAATCTGTGTATTGAATGGTTACGCAGAAATGTTGAGCGTGCATGACAATGATATTGGAATAACTAATGTAATTGAACATGTCATTCTCACGGGAGATCATCCGCCCATTAGCTGCGCTCCCTACCGATACTCGTCAGCTCAACGAGCGGCCGTTTTTCAGCGGGTTAAGGAATTCGAAGCTAATGGATGGATCGAACCTGCTATAGGACCATGGTCTTTCCCTGTAGTGATCGTACCTAAAAAGGCCGGAGGGATTCGCATTTGCATTGATTATCGAAAGTTGAATGATATCACGATTAAAGATGTGTATCCCCTCCCCCGGATTGATGAGTTATTGGATGCGATTGGGAGTGCTCGATTTTCCAGCAAGTTTGATGTTCGTCATGGGTTCCATCATCTTCTTGTCTGAGAGGAAGATCGACCGAAAACAACGTTCGTGCTTTTCGAAGGCACGTGGCAATAGATTCGATGTCCGATGGGTATCTGCAATGCCCTTGCAACTTTTCAGCGGGCCATGAACATGGCTTTTCAGAATTTCGTATGGAAGACTCGTTTGGCACAGAGCATCATCAACTACTGCGTGATTGTGTACATGGATGACGTCCTAGTGTATTCGAGTTCCTACGAGGGACACGTGCAGCACATCGAATGGGCACTGCATGCGTTACGAGATGCAGATTTCAAGGTGGCGCTTGAGAAGTGTCAGTTTTTCCTCACCACCATTTCTTTCCTGGGGCACGTGGTGACGGATAAGGGACTCCAACCGGAGCCGCAGAAGGTGGCAGCTGTCAGGGACGCGTCAGTGCCTACCACTATCATGGAAGTTCGCGCCTTTCTGGGCCTAGCCTCGTATTACCGAAGATTTATCGAGGGCTTCGCGGCGATTGCGGGACCCCTCACAAATCTCCTGCGCAAGGATCAGCCGTTGATCTGGACGCCGGAGTGCGATCAAGCGTTTTCCAAACTCAAGGCTGCTCCCATTTTGGCTCCGATCCTTATAAGACCGGATCCCGAAAAGCTTTTTGTTCTCATCACTGACTGGCAGCCAGAGGCGATTTCGGCGATCCTTGCCCAGGTGGGACCAAGCGGACTCGAGATTGTGGTGGAGTATGCGTCCAAATCAGTACCCGCCTGCAAGCGCAACTACGTTTCTCCGACGGGAGAATGCTATGCGGCTCTCTGGGGAATCAGTCACTTTCGTGCTTACCTATATGGGCGAAAGTTCACCCTGGTGACTGATCATGAGCCTCTATTGGCTCTGAAGAAGTCGAAGGATTACTCGGGCATGATTGGGCGATGGGCAACGGTGCTGCAGAGCATGGACTTTGACATCCGTCATCAGAAGCATGAGAGACATGGGAATGCGGATGGATTGACACGACTGCACCGACCTGAGAAAGTTCCGAGGAATGAGGAGGTGATTCCGTGAAACGAACCCGAGCAGAAGATTGGACCTCGATACGGCCAAGTGGAGATTTTGTCGAAGCAGTAAGTGACACGAGGACTAATTTGCCTGCTCTACTCTCTCCACAATTCAGTCCCGTCCCTCCCCTTCTGTCATCATGACTACCCTGCCTGCCTCCACAACCCCTTCTTCTCCTACTAATTCTGCCCCTCTTACTTCCTCAACTTTCTTCGACACCCTCCCCGATAAATTTTGCTATTTTTGCACCTGTATTGCACGGGTTTACGGGGTCGACTGTCATCCCTTCGAGACCGGATTTGTCGATTGGGTGGAATGTGCTACGTATGTCAATCGTGCTCACGGAGCCTGCGTTCGATATCGAACGAGTAGCAAGGAATGGAGGTGCCCCCTGTGTAGAACGAAAAAACTCCCCACGGAGGTTCGATTCGAGGCTGCCCGTACGGACGGTCCTGAATACGACGAAAAATACCGACGGGCGGAAGTCTGGACAGATAAAATTTTATTGGGAAAATTAGCGGGATTATCATTCAGCCATCTCACCAAACATGACAAACGTAGGGCGACTGAGAGATCTTGGGACTATCGATGGATCAACCGTCATTTGGAAAAACGTAAAACTGACGGATCAGGTTCGTGGCTGACAGTTCCCCATCCCTTCGAGAGATACGATTGGATCCTATATGCTCACGAGGAAAAGACCGCTCATTTCGCGATACGTGTAACGGAGGCAACTGTAGACCAGAATCGATGGTTCTGGTCCAATATACGAGATGATGTCAAATACATTGTCGCTAACTGTCTGGTCTGTGCCGCTGATCGCGCCCCTGTACGGCGACCAAACACGATCGTGCCAACGGAAGTAAAGCGTCAATTCCAACGAGTCAGTATGGACACGACAGATATTGATGTGCCACCTGGCCCAAACCGCTATGAATATTCTATTTTATTAGTATTAATTGACCATTTTTCCAAGTACATCGAAGTCTATCCCTGTAAGACCCGAAAGGCCGCAGAAATAGCCACGTACATCGAACGGTTCCTCTATACCCATCTAGATACGGAAGAAATTCTAACCGACAATGGATCTGAATTTAAAGGTGAGGTAGAAGAACTACTTGCGCGAAGGGGCGTCACACTCCGACATACGGCACCCCACGTGTCCCAGTCGAACGGGTTGGCTGAGAACGCCAACCGTATGATTAAAACCACCCTTCGCAGGAACTTAGCGGCCCACGACACGCGTCCTTGGCCCGAGATCGTATATCAGATCGTCGGCATCCACCGGGCCACCCCTCACGAGTCTACGGGGTTTACCCCCTTTCAGCTTCGAACTAATAGCCTCCCCTGTGTCGATTACCGAGGTAACTCAAAAATTGCCGAAGCAGGGGGTAGAGACATGCGTGCGACTCTTAAGGACAAGGCCAAAAGGTACGCCGATTTAATGGAACGGGCCGTTCCGAAGCTAGCCCGAAAAAGGCAAAGGATGACCGAGCTGGCCCACGGCAGACAGGTCCGTAGCTACGAGGCCCGGAATGGAAATGCTGGGCCCCAGTACCAGTATAAATTGGGGGACCTAGTGCAGGTACGTAAATGTGCACGCGACCGGAAACTCGCTCCCAAGTTCTCTGGCCGTTTTCATGTTGTAGAACTTGGACCCAACGGTGCTAACACGGTGCGCATCGCGCCTGAGGCTAGCGCCAGTCATAGCTCCGTCCCTATCGTCAGACATACCTCCGACCTCCATCTCCTTCCTCCTTTCGATTTTCCTCCCTCTTTTTCCTCGGAAAGCGAGGAAAACGACGACGATCTAACCCTCTTTCCTCTTTCTCCCTCTTGTCCCTCGTCCTCCTCTCCGACCTCGCCATGAGTTTCATCACGGAGAGGGTTCTTGACGCACAACTGCGGCAGCCACGTGGCCACATCTCAGAGATTCGGCAAGTTTGTCACCCTCGGCTCAATACGGATCTCCGCCGTTTGATGCGATTCTTCTCCGACGAAGGTATCTGTGTCGCCGCCGCGCTTCAGATAGAAGGAAACCCTCACGCGATAGTCTTCGTGGATGTTACTGCAGTTCATCGGCGAGCGGGTCCCAGAACGAGCCACGTCACCACAGTGGCGGCATTCACCGGCGACATCAGCTCGGTCAATCCGCTGCGGCATACCGCGATCTTGGCCTCGCTGCGCGAGTGGACGGAGCAAGTGTCCAACGTGTGGCAGCACGTCCTCGCCCGGGAGGGGTATAACATCATCCCGATCTTTGCATCGGACCTTGACGGCATTCGCCGATCACCRCGCGAGCGGCCAGTTGCGATCCCAACCCTCGTCCCCTTCCCCCATCCCCAATGAACCACGCCAATTTTCTTGCCCCTCTCTCTATCTTTGCTCTCCCCTCTCTCTTCCCCACCTTCAGGCAATCCGATCTCCACCCTTCTCTCTCCTTCTGGTTCGAACCTCTTTCGGTCCCTCTTATCCATCCTAGACATTGGCGGCTGTGGCGCGAGACTTTTGAGGAGTTGTCCTTCTGCCTGACCCGAGCACAAGTGAAGTGGACGGGCACTATTGAGCACCCCACGTGGATCGAGAATCTGGAGCTGCTGATCATACAGGGTTGGAGGACTAATACAGAAGGAAATCTTATTGAATTCCTCTTTGGATCGGTACGACCGGGTCGCCGTCAGTTGATTGCACAGGAGCACATCGCACCGATCGTGCAATTGGCGGACAATCTCTCGCCCGACATCTACTTTCAGAGCGACAACAGTCCTGCTCCGTACATTTTCGAGCGATCCTTGGATCCGTACCTTCAGTGGACTTCGTGCTTGGAGGAACCTAGGGACGAGGATACGCTACCATCGCGGCAGGAGTATCTGAAGCTGTACGAGATCATCCCTTACGCCTTCTACCCGAGGGCAGAAGAAGTGGTGATAGACGACGACGAAGAAGAAGAAGACGACGACGAGGAGACATCGGAGGAGGGAAGCTATAGTGAACATAGCGAGGGCGAGTTGAGTGAAGAGGAAGAAGAAGGAACCGGGTCCGAGTGGGAAGCCCCGCCGGAGGAAGCGACGCGTACAGGGACGGAGGCGGAAGACCCGGAAGCGGCGCGAAAGCGCGAAGAGATTGCCTCCGGAAAGCGCCAACTGGAGTTCGCTAGCGAGGCTAACCTGCGCATCGGTAGCGATCCGACCACGGATCCAGAGCCGCAGAGGCCCGAAGATGGCGACCCTACAGCCGCCACCTCAAGTACCGCGCGACGAAGACGGCGCCGATCCCCCTCCTCCTCCAGCCCCACTCGTCCCCCAGTTCGCCCACGTACCAATGCGGGCGATAGTCTTTCGTCCTCGGACGCTGCCCTGCCGACCCCTTGATTTCCTCACCCTCGAGCAGATCCGTACCCCAGTCACCTTCCCTTCCCATCCTTTCCATCCCCATCTCTTCCGCGACTTCTGCTCTACCCGTCTACTCGCCACCGTCCACCCCCATGCCTCCCTTCAGTCCGCTGGTCCCACGTTTTGCTGGCATCTCCTGCTCTTCAGCGTTGCATGGGAGCAATGCAACGTGGTAGAAGTTTACTGCGTCGCCAAGGGAAAATCCCCGCTTGCCGCCACTTCGAGATCTTTCGAGCGGCGCTTTTCCGTACCCTCTCCTCCTTCTATCGCGACTACCTCGCCTCCATCCCCCGCAGTGGCGATCATTTCCCCCGCTTCCATGAGGAGCTCCCGGTGACGATGGAAGGGATGAATCGCTTCCTACCCCCACTCCCTCCCCGTCATCCCCGCGAGATCCCCGTCATGTACCGCCTCTACTGGCCTATTCCAACTAGGCGGTAGATCCCATTCACTTGAACCCCCCCCCCTTTTTTTTTTCCTCCCTTCATCGGCACGAATCAGTAAGCTTCGCGAAGATCACGCCATCGACGATGACGTCAACCTACGTGCTGATTCGACTGACGCCAACGTGCAAGGGTGCAGAGCACACGAAGATCAGGTGGACCATGATGGCGTCACCTGGACGATCTCTACGAGGCAGAGGGTTACATATGACAGGGCTACAGAGATCTTGCCACGGATGTTGTCGTCATCTCGTCCGCGGTCCAGTTATCGTTCCTTGTACTTCTTTCTGCTCTGTTGATACGTTTGGTTCCTCATGCATCACTCTGTTCTCCCCTCTTCTTTTTCGCCATGACATGCAATCAGGAGATCGCATAATTTTGGAATCCCCTGCGCGTCACATATGTGACGAACCACTTCACGACCCTGTGCCACCTTTCGTACCCTTTCTTTTTCTTATATCATACCAACCCCAGGAAAACCCCGTTTTGATTTCTTGCTTTCGGGTGCCGCATTTTCCTTTTTGAGGGCATTTTCGACTGCTGAGTTCTGTTTTTCTTTTTGCAAAGTCAGGAAATACATGGGAATTTGTGTGCGCCTTAGCGAGCACACTGGGAATTGGGCTCAGCGGTTGAGAATTCCGGGATAAGCGGAACTTCGACGTGTCCTTTCTGAGTGTGTGAATGTTCTTGGTCACGTCGGAAAAAACTTTCGTTATTTCGTTCGGATACGAATAGGCATAGGATTTTCTTTTCCTGCTTCGCTCTTTCGCGCGCGGATATGGTGATTTCAATTTTGAATTAGGATAGAAGCAAGCTGTAACTGTTTCGGTGCCTTTTTCTCTTTTTTGTTGATGGCGCCGTGCATGCAAAAGCTTCCTCCCCTCTGGCCCCCTGTATCGCTCCCTCCTGCGCTCCCTTTCCTTCTCCCTCCTCGTTCTCTCTCCCCATAACTGTTTTTCCTTCTCCCTCTCTCTCTCTCTCTCCCRCCTTGCTTTCGCGCGCCCATTTCCCTTTCTTCATCATCTGAATCTTGGACCCGTCTTGTGCCACCTCTCGTGCCTTTTCTCTTCTCACCCTCTAGGTCTGGCGTACGACGCCCGGTCGATCCCCCGATAACTCCCGCTCGCCAATCAGGTGTGTGGATCAATAGGACCTTCCTATCGCGCAACGAATCTGATTGGTTGAACGTTGAGTTCCGAGGGATCAGCATGGCGTTCGTAGAGCACTCTTCTCAAACTCTTCTCCTCCTGCTTCTCCTCTTACACCTCTGCTTTCCTGTCGCCTTCTCCCCCTTCTATCTCCCCTGTTGCAACTATAAAACCCGCAATCGCGTCCGCAAATCTCTCTTACGTTCTCGACTCCTAAGCCAGATTTCGGGAAGCAGTGGCTAGGCAGAGTGGAATGATGCGAGTCGGAAAGTCCTGTCGGGCTGACGATAGGTTGGCTGGTTGCGCGCTTGATCGCCACGACGGACTGTGGGATCCGGGCGAACCGTGTCGAGTTTACGATAGCGGGGTGACGATCGCAGTGGTGGTAGTTAGCACGCGACGCCCGGGATCGTCGGTGCGGGTATGATGTTCGATGATTGGAGTTGAGTGAGTGATTGGCCAGGGGCCATAGTGGAATTAACGGCGAATGCGCCTTTGTTGCGGATTGTTATCCTTGGCGTGAGTGTAAAGCGGCGACGCCGAACTTTTCTCTTTTCGGGCCTTGTCATCTTCTATTT